AAAATATTCGGATTTATCAGATTTTTATAAAAGATTAAATCATGTTTATTTTACACTACCTTTCTGACACATTATAAGCAAGTTGAAATAAGGTGTAAAGTTATTACACTTTCTCCATCATTACAGCTCAGGTTTGCAGTGACTTGACGTCATTTTTAATTATGACGTCATACATCTGTATTTCAGAGAAGTGAAGGCACAGAGTACACTGCGATATTCTCTGGAAAGCCTTAACGTACCTGTGCATTGAAAAATTTCAAGGGAACCGAGTAGTTTAATGTAAATGTGATGAAGACCTAATTGTTAAAAAAAACGTAAGACAAGAGTGAATCAAAAGAGACATCATGTATATTTGGTCTGCTGTATGATCGATGTCCATGACTACACGTCTAGGTGTATTGTTAAAAAAAGACATCACATTCAAATTGACACATTGTGCACTTGAAATATTTCGTACGTTATTTATGGACCATACGGAAAGCCTTGACTAGTTTCCTGATCTAGTATTCTTCTTGTTATCTACGGAATTGAGTGCTCAAGGTGGAACTGTTCGTTGGATGATATATTTTTCGATTATCTTCTAATCTTCTTTGAAAAAAATGAGTGGTCAGGCGAATTAATATCTTAACAAAGATGTTGATAGTCCCCATTATTTATTTCAAACCTGTGCCCCAACATTCTCTTATATATTGAGTAAACATTCTGTTTACCAGGCATCTACATGATACACACACTCTTTGAAAACATTTCAAAACAAATCAGTTAAAATAGCAATGAACAATTGACATTCTATGCTTTAGTTGACATTTTCATTTGATATATTGTTCGTTGCTCTGGTCTCAGATATCATTCGTTGTTTACTTTTCAATCCTTAGTTTTTCATACTATGTCTTTGCGCTGTAGTTTCGCTTTTCTCTCCTTGTTTTGATCGTTCTCTTTTGTGCATGGAACATCTTTTTGTGTATGTTTGAAAGTATGCTTAAATACGTGTGTATTGATAGATTCTGTCAAACAAACACATACATAACATTATTTCAATGGTTTAGAGAAAAATCTCAGATACCATGTTGTCAGCAGCAAATAAATACAACTTATTGCTTTAAAGTACATTGATTGTCATTGCAAAAATTTGCGAAGGGTTCTAACGGCTTCTACATGCATTTATATAAATAAATGTTCTTTAAATAGATTTCACCTAGGAATGTGTTCTGTTAAATGTTTACAACATCTTTAATCCATCAAAGTAAAGTTGTTCTTTATTATCAGCACTGATATTCAAAGGGGGTTCCATCAGGTGCCCGTATGAATATATAGGTAAAAATACATTAGATGTTACTTCGTGCAAGATTCTCAGTACATTTGTAGTAGGCTGAAAATTATCAGATTTAAGATATTTTGTTGGCGATAATATTCTATTGCGAATATTGTTCTTTGAAACAAAAGAAACACACACACACACATACACACTTTAATCTTCAATCCGTGTCTGTGACTAAAACATAAACTACGCAGCATTGTTACGGCTAATAAAGAGAGGGGAATATTAACTGCAACATTACAAAAAATACATACTTCCAGAAAATTTAATAATTTGCGTTTCTAATTAATTTAAAAGTTTTAAACTACGTCAAAACGTTCCACTTAATTCATTTTTGTCCCTAGTAAAATCAAACACAGTAAGGTATTAACAAGGATCTGGCTGTAATACACTTTTCGGCGTAAAGTCATCATGGTAAATTCTGATATCTTTCATGTGCATAGAGAAATGCATCAAATATATAGTTTTCACAGTTAAAAATGCAATATTTTAACATTTTTTACGACAGATTTACGAGATTATCACCACCACCTTTTCAGGTCAATTCATTTAAGCTTAGATGGACCTAAATCTTATCAAAGTTATGTCCATGGGACAAAGAAAAATAAGAAAGTCACTAAAGCAATGGAAAAAAAAACAAGAAAAAACAACTAGCACTACAAATAAACTATTGACCCTTCTATATATGCAGGTTTACACGTTTTACTTGAAAGTTGAAACTTTGTCTCGGGAGAGATTGATCTCTGAGAAGAGAGTAGTATGTTCCATTCAGTCATACTAATTTTATATCTCCGTAGCTAAATGTAAAATAAATATCCTCATAGAAGAACAGAAAACATGTAGCACATGTACAAAGTAACTAGAAAGTTACCGTTTTCTGAGCAAAAGAGCATTCAGTGATTCGTATTCTTTTTAATTCATATCTATTTATTTCACACAAATTTACATCGTTGATTTCCCATGCAATGTCTAATACATCTGTGTAAAATTTTACACAACACCACAATATCCGTTTCATTTTATTGCTTTTAACATTTTTTTCCTTGAACAGAATTACTTCAAGAATGATATATGACTGATCTAACTTCCTTGTGATATGTGTTTCATATTATCCTCATTTCGAAGTAGGAAGGGGATGTAAAAAGATTTTATTAACATTTCTTAGAAACATTTTCTAGCAATATTTCTCCTATCCATTACATTAACCAAGGGGTTTATTAAAAATAAATATATGAACAATTTAAAGTCTATGGAGCTTTCGAATGGATGGGAGGAATTGCTTAATCATCATTGCTACTGGACTAAACAACAGGGCATGTAAGCATCAGTCAATTGTTCTGCTTTGGCAAGAAAATACGAGAAGAACAAGATGCTACAAAAATACCTTCGATATTATTGTTATTCACAATGGTTCCTCCTAGACTTGAAGCACACCTCTTGATCCAATGTTTTATCTGTGTTTTATTTTTTGTTCCCCACGTGCCATTTACATGGTTTTGAAAGGATAAACTGAACTGAAGAAATAAAAATTACAACTTTGTGCCAAAAATATTCCTTACTAAATTCTGAGTTCTATCCAGGAAAGTATTCATTATTGAAGCTTCTTTGTTTATGAATAGCTAAGAAAACCCCTTGAATTCGTCTGTGAACTTCATTTTTTCTTCAATAGTTGAACAGTTTTCAGAAACAAGGCACTTTTTGATACACTGAGGTACAAAGAATATATTTCTGAATTGGTCTTATCATTAAGAAAAATGTGCTTATTTCCCTTCAGATCACCACCTCTAGTAATTAATAGAAGAGATTTATCCGAAAAACTTCTGAAGTCTGACGTGATTAAATGAATAATAGACTTTTCTGCAGTTCTTAATCTGTTTACAGCAAAGGCAATAACAACAAAATCGGGTGACACATTTTGCAAAATTTCCAAAACAAACGGTTTAGCATCATCTCTTAAGCCTGGTGTATCTTCCAAAATCCCTTTTCCTGTTTCATATATCGTAATTTATTTGGTAAGGGACTCTGCTTCTAATTTGTTTCCAGATTGTGCTTTATCTTGCTGAAGCAAGGTATTGATGGTCGCACTTTATCCTGATCATACAGGTCCAATAAAGACCATTCTTGGTTTTCTTATCACAAGGAACCGGAGGTATTCTTATGTATTGAAACATTAAAAATTAAGAAGAATTAAGAAAACATCTCTCTTACTGAGAAAAAAAACAACACATTTTTGAAATTCTTACTTTTGTTGCCAGGACCCCAAGTGTTCATCACTTCATTTTCTCTTAAATCTGTTCCATCCAAGGATGCTTCGTAGCAAATTTGAATGAAATTGGAGTACTGGCTCTTAAAATTAAAGTTTAAAATGTGAAAGTTCGACTACGAGGACGATAAACAAATGACAAATATTGGTCAGAAACGCTCATTAATGCTCTGTGTAGCTAAAATTTCATTAAAAAAATCTCTGTCATTCCGAAATACAGAATTTGTTCAGGTAAAGACATATGTAGTTTTCCCCCCAGAATTTAAGATTCATTTTCGATATCCTACTGAAATATTGAAGTACTATGTATGCTGTGCAAGTCTCATATGAAATACATGCATGCAGATATGTGTTAGCTTTTATAAGGAAGTATGCTGAATGTATACTTTTCAAGCCACATTCACATTATGATCATAAAACTGTTAAGGTATACAGATCATGCAGGTGATCAAGTCTTAAAATACAAAGTTATTAAATAAGGAGCATTAACTCGTAGGCAACAACCTTTGCCAGATACAAATACTTTTATTCTCGTTTGACATGTTTCACTTGAAACTTGAAACATTTTATTTCACTAAAGCCCCCAACATGGGGTATGTTAGTACAATGAAAGTTTAAAAATTGAACAAATCAACATGTGAACAGTTAACATAATGAACTACAAAAAAATCTATGATATGGACAGTACTGACATTCACGAAAATTTTTTAAACTTCCCAACATTGATTTTCATCAAGAGCTATAGCATCAAAATCAAATGAAAAATAGGATGAGGTATGAAGCGCTGCTTATTTTTTTCAGAAATGATATCTATGTCAGATCATAATATGAAGAAATTTTAACACAGAAATTAGGAAGAGTAATAATTTATTATCACAACATAAAATTAGAAATATGTATATGAAAATAATATTTAGTGTCATGCCTACTAAATTCATATTAGAAATCATAATGAAGCGCTGCTTCCTAAGTCAGAATATAACAATGTTATATGTGGTTGTAAGAAAACAATACATCTGTTAGCAAGAGTTATCTTTCTTATAAATATTTTTTCATCGGAAAAAAAATGTAATACTAATAAAAATTCTACATTTGGTGCTTGATACATTAAACCATTTTTAAAATGATCGTTAAAAAGATAGAACTTATTCAATTTTTAAGGGTTTTAAAACTGGATTTAAATGTTTTTTTGTCAAACATAATAAAACAATTTGAAAAGTACAGTCAAAGGAAATTTATGGTAATGCTTCCATCATATGTTAAGTTTGATCGAATTTTCTGCTCAAAGGTCTTGATGATTAAACTCTTAGAAAGTAAACTATGAGTAATACTAGGATATTTTACTTGGAAAGTTATCTCTCTTATCAGAGGGTCGGTCCCCCTTAAATGCATCCTCTTGTTAATCAAAAATAAGGTGATGTAAGTTTCTTTTTAAGTACTCCTAGAATTTTTAGAGTGAAAATAATCCACACGACTTGTTTACGTTAGGAACACATATCACATATTTAAAACCATCAGGTAAGAGAAAGTAAAAATATACGCAGACGTCTGAAATTCATTTTTTTAGGTCCTCTGAAAAGCAATCTTTTCAAAATCAAGCATGATCTTTTTCCGCACAGGAGCTCTGTCTTCACGTTTGAGTCGTTTGTAACATCTGCAAGAAGAAATAAATTAACCTGATGAAAGAAAAAATATTACAAATTAGAAAACAGGTACCATGCTTACATTCATGCAGTTCCTAACTACAATTTTAAGTGGTAATGATAGTCCGTTTTAATTGTAAACAAAATATTTTTTTCTGTTATTTTGGATATTACGATATATTCTAGCATGCGTTATCTTAAGAATGACTTTCATACGCTTTTCTGCTAAGTTGAATTTTGCATTCCTTGTGAACTTCTCAGTTACTAAATACATCATATATATACGAACATTCTCAATGACATCGTTTTAAAAATGTTGAAGAATTATATTCTCCAATAAGAAATGTTTGGAATATTTTTTCTCAGAAAAAAGTTATTAAAAGACCTTAACTTTACGTCTGTGTAGAAGAAAGATAGGGCGATTCGAATAATTCTGATTTCTTTAACATCTTTTCCTGCTTGTTGCCTAGTCCATGATAGGCTAAACTTTAAATATATTGCAAGAAATCTTACAGAGAAAAAGTTATACTGTAAAAAGTACTAATTTAGGGTGGTTAAATTGCAGTGGTTAAAGAAGTTCTTTGAGAGAAAGGGAGGAACATGATACGACAGTTTGAATTCTTATCATGATTATGAATCTGTAGTTCTCTTTATTCCATAAAATCAACAACAATTGAAACCATACGAAATTAATAATTTCACAGTATTTTAAGTATAAGGAAATGAAAAATGTTTGCCTCCATTGACTAGCTGTTTACTATCTTGGATAATACTCATCACAGTCTGTCCAAAAAAAAAAAATAAACAGAAGGAATAGAATCCTCAAAGTAAACGTTATGTTTTAGGTGTTTAATTTTAACCATATTGACAAATTTGAAAAATATATATATATATTTTAAAATACAGCCATTTAACATTGTTTAATTGAATGTAGCTTACTGTAGAATTGAGTAAATGATAAAAATACATACTGTAATTTTATTCCGGCAAATTTTAGTATTTTTGCAGATGCCTTGTATTTTGGTGTTTCAGCTTTGTCATTGGCATAGTAAATCACTTTACTTATCCTTGATTGGGCGAGCAGTTTGGCACATTCATTACATGGAAACAGTGTAACATACACGATACAGTCTTTTAAACTTGTCCCATGTCTATTTATAACAGCATTCATTTCGGCATGACAAACTAAAATAAAATCTTATAATTTTCAATATATAAAAAAGACATTTTAACCTAATTTAAATTTGTTAAATAGTTTTGCAAATTGGACATTTTTGGCGTATGAAGTAGCAAGAGGAATACCAAAAAGACTTTGCTCTGCCTTGTTTTTTGAAAATGTTGTATCATTTTTCCGCTTGCTCTCTTTTCTCTGCGGGTCAATAAAACCATTGTATCCAGTGGTTACTATTCTTTTTTCGCTGTTTACTATGCATGTTCCAACCTGAAAATTTGACATGATAGAATTACATTTACCAGATGAAATTACATTTACCAGATAAAATTCAATGTATTTTTGCAGAGAGGACCATGCTTCATGTACTGAGTAAAGAAAAGTTTGAATTAATTTTACGAGAAAATAATTTTAAAGATATTCTTTTTAAATGTGAAAAAAACAAACTTTTTAAAAAAATTTTATTGAATTCTTTGTTTGCAAAAAATAGTTCTTAATAGCATCTTATGATATCTAAGGTAAAAGATTATTTCAATCAGGTTTTTGAAGGACAACAATTATAGCTTTTTTTTTTTTTTTATTTCAATTAAACATGCATATATGTATAACTAGTATAAAGTAAGGTGATGTAGAAACAGAAAATGACTTTAATTTTGATATAAATCAATATAAGAAACATTTCATTCTTTGCAGTTAAAGACTAAATTGAAAATTTGAATCAAACTTTTGTTAGTTTTTATCACGGCATGCAAACCAGGTCATAAGTAGGTAACGATTTGTTTAAATTTATTCAAGATTTTTTTTTCATACATTTTTACCTTGAAATGGTGCTTGGAATTTATAATAAATGAAAAAAGAGGGATAAAATTGAAAGATTTTGAACCATTTTAAGCATAATAGCAAGTTTTATTCTAAACGTTTGTCAAATCAGGAAGATCTAACTATTAACCTTTTCATTGGTTTTGAGTCTCATCGGAAAAATCCAGTAAAGTACGGACTTGAACAATAGAATGCAACAAAAAAGACAATGTGCCAAACGAACTCTCTGTAGTTTGAAAAAAACTTTTTGCATATACTTAATCTTTGATATATGTACCTTCATTGAATACCACTTTTACAGAAAATAAGAAGATTGTATATTAGATATATAATATAGTTTTGGTAGGGGCACACAGTTTAAATTCAATTCCCATTCATTTTTAGCCCCGTCCCACTTTCGAAAATCCGAATGGTCTTCCCAATTATAAACGATTGTTGCTTACATTGCTTGAACCCGCGTAACCTTTCATAATCTTGCCCACCTGTCCACTCGTGCTTTACTTTTTTTACTTTATCACGTGGTATTTTTTTTTTCTCAAATGTGGTCATCGCTACTTGTCAGCTCTTATCATCGCAATGTTTGGTTTCGTTTATATAAGTAGATAATAAATCAATAGCTTCGTAAATTGTTGATTATAATAAAATAATAATTACCACTAAAAACTTCATAATCTTATTTTGATAATTACCCAAGTAATTGATTGCTAGGTTTGTTAACATCTGAACATTCATTATCGACTGATAAAAATTGTCACGTTGTAAGAAAATCTATTCTGTCTTGGTATATATCCCTATATTGTAATGAGACCTTTCCATTCTAATCGTCTTTTTTTTTTCATAAACAACAAACGGTCACAAACGAAAACAAAATTTGATGTTTCAGTGTGTAAAAAAAATGAACGGTAGTGCAGTTTTCCTCATAATTATAAAATATCCGAACTTTCGAAATCTGTTCATAACGTGTCTTTTTAATTCACTCTTTTCAAAATTATCCTAGATTTTTTTTTCAAATCCTCGTAGAAAAAGGTGCCCCAGACATAAGTCATGGCAATTCATCTTTTGTTTCATTAAAGTTGCATAATGAGTCAAAACCATGTGTTTCTTTTAAGAAAATTGTATCACAAAATAAAAGATTTCTGTGAAATATGACTATGAATATATCGAAGTTTTGACAACTCAACTCAACTGCACCGTAAAGCAAGAAAAAAAACCTGCAAAATATAAGTGCCGGAAAAACAAATGTATCTATCGCTATGTTTTTATCGTCAATGTCAACAATGTCAAGGTCCCGCGTCCTTTATTTTTAGCGTGACACTTGTAAACAACATTGAATTGGGGCAAGCAGAAGTAAGGGATAAGTTATGATCATCTTTTTTGAAGATTGTATCAAAATTCTCAGTCATCCGACATTTATATCTATGGAATTGAAATCATGGTAAATTGTTTAACTTTTCAGCGCATGCGTACAATAAAGAGGAAGAAGTGAAACAATATTTTTGTGATGGGTTATACAAAGATTTTTTTTTTTACTTTTATTTTTCTCCATTAAATTAGATTTTTAGGTGCTCAAACCTGTAATTTTCTGAAACCTAATATCGTCAAGAACTGAACAAAATTTGCATATGTCATGCAAAAAATCTACTGTTGTCAATTTTCCCGTTTGTCCGTCACAGTGTCACTTTAAATTTTCTATTTAAAGAGCAAATAATTACCTTCATGCGTTAGGCTACAAAAAAGCTTCTAACATTTACATGTATGCTTTGAGAAAGTTCAAAATTAAAGAACTGAAACGAAAGCCTACCGTTCGAACGTCATACTTGCTTCTTTTCGCCGACAGAAATGCGACTCCCATAAAATACTCATCCCATGAAATAATATCATCTTTCTGTGTGCTGAAATAATTTATGTTAAAGGCAATCTTTGCATCATTAAAATTTTGTTTTAGATATCATTGTTTCACTTACTTACTTACTTAAAACAATTCAATAGAAAAAAGGATAACTATTGATATTAATTAATAAAGAAGAAGTAACATGTTTAATTTTTTCTTAGCCAGATTACTTTTACAATCATCCTATTCCAATTTATTATGCCATTATACCTTCTTCTTTTGCTTTGTCCTACTCTTCTATCCTTTTTATCGTCACTCATTTCTGATTTTCGAGTATTAGGCATGTTAAATGTTTAAAACTTATCTTAAATATGATATTACTATCTGTTTGAAAATTTTCAATTATCTACATGATTTATGTACACAAGGAAATCTTAAATACTAGACATGTGATCAGTATATACTTTTAAAAAATCCTTCTTTAAAAAAAAATACTCACAGGAGTAACTTAAAATATCCAAGCCCTTTATTGAGAATTTCAAAAGAGAAAGTGAAAGTTGATTTCAAATGCTTCCAGGGTAAGTCAGTGCTATATAGACTTACCTTTGTATGTATCACATATAGATTGAATTTAAAGTATGATTAATACTACGCAGATTACCCGGGAATTCATTTTCGGAAAACTGCGCAGTTTATTAAAGTATTGTGGGTAGCCCTTTTTTCAATAGATATTATGCAATCTTTAAATGCAATATCCTTTATCTGTTAGAAAATATTTTTATTGAAATTTGACTCTTTCAATATGAATAAAAAAATGCAAAACCTTTTTAGTTGCAATAAATATTTATGGTTATTAAAATATTTACACATTGAATTTATCTATAAATAAAAATAAAAAGGATTAAACCTATTATTCATGATATTTTAATGATGGAAAAGTCCATCACAATGTAACTTCCATCGAGAATAAAACACAAATTAAATAATAGTATTCTTTATGATAATTTAAAAAAAAAAAAGAAACACGTAGATTTACAGGACTAATCTTGTAACCAGCATTGAATTCCTCAGCGAAACAAAACCAATGATTCAGCAATGAAATGCAATACAAGCTGGTCAAGTAGAAAATATTCTTTGACAAGCAAAATGAGATAACCCCCCCCCCCCCTCTTGTTTATAGATAAACCACAAGATTAGCTTCATATCGTTGCCATTGTATCTGACAGTTTATTCTCTCTCTCTTTCTCTCTCTTTCTTACCCATCATAACCGACTTGTGAGGAATTGGACGCCTGGAATATGTTGTGGGGAAAGTGTTTTCCTAATATGTTTTTATTTCAATAATGGACAATTATTATAGAAAATAACTGTTTTATTGCTTTCTCTCCTTTCTTATCTTAAAAATAACCTATCTGTCGTTTCAGTATGTATTCGAAAATTATGGGGAATGTTTTTTATCATTCATTTTTATGGGGAACGTCATCAGAACTCCTCTGGATTTACTATTAAATTAAAACAATATCACTCTTAATTTTTAAGTGTATTTTTCTCTACACCTTCCGCTAATTCATGGTTACAATTTAATATACACATAAAACATTTCGATTTATCGCCATTTAAAGGCCTATAATATTGAACGTACACTGCATACATGTCAACCTCATTGAGTCATTCTCTCCACCTTCGATATGACGTCACAGCATATGCACATCGTTACGTCGAACATCGAGCCCGATTCAACGTATTGATAATTGATTTTGTTCTTTGGTATTTATATTTTTAAACGTTATCATGGTTATCCATTAAAAACATGTTTGCACCTAGATATTATTTTAATTACGCAATGTTGCTTTAAGTTTTTTTGAAGAACGTAATTCCCTTAATGACTAATAAGACTGAAATATTACCAGAAAAAAAATCTGTGATTTCAATTTTGTACGATGTAATTATGCTTTAATCAATTTTTTTCCCATCGCAATTATAAAATGCAAAAATATTGATTTTTTTCTCTTTAATAATCACATTGAAATAGCAAATTACAATTTTACAGTGAAAAAAAAAATACAGTTTATATTGCATCAACTATAACTCCCGATCGGCTTTAGGTGCCCCATTTTGACTTACCGGTAATTGTTTTTAAGCTAGGTTTTATTAAATTTAGAGGGCACAAGCATATAGTATCTATGTTTACTATAGTAATCTATATATCTATATATCGGCAAAATTATTGTGCCCCCCCCCCCTTTCCGGTTCCTACGGCCATGAAATGGCATGCTTGTTTTCAGTCCACGCATGGGATTTTCACTTTTCATAAAACATGTTGATTGGCTATCAGAGAGTTAAAATGCTCGTGCATTAACGAAAC